CGGTGGTACGTTTTCTATGGGAATATCTCTTCAGGTCCTCTATCCATTTTCTAATTAGATTACATTTTTGTTTTAAGGTGTCTGAATGCTTTATATAAACTGGATATCAACGCTGATCGTCAATGATTCGCACTGATTTTATCTCATCCCATTCACTCTATTATTTCCTTTGCTGCACCGAATTTTTGAGAATGTAGTAGCCTCCTGTTTTAGTCAGCTTTTTCACTGCTGAGACTAAAGGAACTGACCAGAACAATTTTAAAAGAAGAAAAGTTTATTTGTTCATTCCCGGTTTCAGAGGTCTCAGTCCGTGGAAGGCCGGCTCCATCCCCCCAGCCTCAAGGTGAAGCGGAACATCATGGCAGAGACTTCCCTTGCCAGATACAACTGTATACCTAAAGCCATGCCCCAATTCCCGCTCCTCCAGCCACACCCCACCACTCCATGCACAGATTGGGTTAAGACTTTCACAACCCAATCATTTCTCCTCTGAACCTCTGGCCTTGTCTGACATGTGGGCTTCCTGGGGGACACCACAGTTAATTCATTGCACCCCATTTCTCTACGTGTGTCACCTTTGCCTTTGGTTTCATATCCAAGAAATCGTTGCCTGATTGAGTGTGACAAAATTTTCCCTTATGCTTTCTTCGAGGGATTTTATAGCTTTGCGTCTTATGTATTGGTCTTTAGTCCACTTAAGTTAATTTTTTTTATTTTTTATTTTTTAGTTCTCGGCGGACACAACATCTCTGTTTGTATGTGGTGCTGAGGATCGAACCTGGGCCGCACGCATGCCAGGCGAGCGCGCTACCGCTTGAGCCACATCCCCAGCCCCCCATTTAAGTTAATTTTTAAAGTTATTTTTTTGCATTTAGGGGATGGGAAGGGTCTAACTTCATTACTCTGGATGTGAATATCCAGCCTCACCACACCATTTGCTGAAGAGGCTTTCCTTCCCGCTCTGGGTGGTTTTCCCAGCACTGTGCAGGTTGGGAAGGTCATTTAACCATCAACAGGGACATTTATTTCTGGAATCTCTGTTCTATTCCGTTGGTTTCTGTGTCTGTCCTTATGCCAACCCAATCACACTGTCTTGAGCTCTCAATATGTTCTGAAGTCAGGAAGTGTGAGGGCTCCAGCTTTGTTCTTTTTCAAGATTATTTTGGGAATTTAGCGGGGTGGGGGCTCCCTTCATATTCCATATGAATTTTGAGATTTTTTTCTTTTTTTCCTACTTTTGCAAAAAAAATACCATTGGAATTTTGATAAGGATTTCATTAGATATGTAGATTACTTTGGGAAGTCTTGATATTTTAACAATATTAAGTTTTCTGGTTCATGGGCACAGATGAGGCTTTCCGTTTATGTCTTCARTTTCTTTCCGAAGAGTTTTATAGTTCTCTGGGTATAGACCTTTCCTCTCTGTGTTAGTCAGTTTTTCACTGTGGTGACGAAGGGACCCAAGAAGAACTTAGAGCCGGGCATGGTGGCACACGCCTGTAAWCCCAGCGGCTCGGGAGGCTGAGACAGGAGGATCACAAGTTCAAAGCCAGCCTCGGCAATGGCGAGGCATTAAGCCAGCAAGTCAGGGGACCCTGTCTTTAAATAAAATGCAAAATAGGGCTGGAGATGTGGCTCAGTGGTTGAGTGCCCTTGAGTTCAATCCCCAGAAAAAAAAAAAAAAAAAAAAGAAATTTGAGTAGGAGAGTAGAGAAAGCTTATTTTGGTTCAGCTTTCTGGGGCTCAGTCCACGGTCGGCTGCTTCCATCACTGTGAGCTCTAGGTGAGTCCAGCATCCTGGCGGAAGACCATGGCAGAGGAGAACTGCTCAGCTCCTAGCAGCCAGGAAGCAGAGAAGTGGAGGTGCAGGGAGATGCTCCCCTCCAGGGCATGCCCAGTGACCCACCTCCTTCAGCCGTGCCCACCTGCCGACGGTCACCACTCAGTCTTCAAGCTAGGACGGACTGATCAGCCACAGTTCTTATAACCTGATCATTTTCCCTCTGACTATTTCTGATTAACAGGGGAAATTTTGGGGGACACCTCATATCCAAACCGTCACTTCTGCTGCTGGTCCCCAAAGCTCATACTCATCCCACAGTGCAAAACGAAGTGGGTCATCTCCAAAGTCTCAAGAGTTCCAGCACTGCCCCAGAGTTCAAGTCCAAAGTCCCCCAGGAGACTTGAAAACGCATAGCTGTGAGTCCCTGAGACCAACACAGAGGGTAAACACCTCCTTCCAAAGAGTAGAAACAGAGGCACAGAGAGAAGGGATGGGACACGGCCAGACCCAAACACAGCTGGGCAGACATTTCCTGTAGAGCCACRTCCAGCGTCTGTGGCACGTGSTGGCAGGCAGTGATCTCCAGKGGGCTCCAGCAGYCCTGCCCTTTGGCCTTGCTGGCGTGAGACCCCTTGCCTCTCTCTGCCTGGTGCTCTCTGCAGCCAGCAGTTCTCTTCAGGGCATCTCTTTGTTCCTGGGGTCTTCACCCAGCTTCAGCTTCGTCTTCTCAGATTCACACGTTGCCTCCCAGGGGACGACCGCGGGGATCTGACCCTGCTGCACTTTGCCTGGCCCCAGGCCTTCCTCTGAAGTGTCAGTAGAAGCCTCCAGCACCCTGCAGAACCTACCCACAGCTCCAGCAGGAGACAGGCCTCCCAAGACCTCAGCTATGATGGCCTCTGAGTTCCTGGCAGGTGAGCCCAAGGGACAGAGTCCTGGGAAACAACTCTGGACACCCCGGGGCAAACAGGGCACCTCCGTGGCTTTTCATTTCTTTTTTGGTACAGGGTTGTACTCAGGGATGCTTAACCACTGAATCACACCCCCAGCCCTTTTTATTTTGAGACRGGGTCTTGCTCAGTTGCTTAGGGCCTCACTAAGTTGCTGAGGTTGACTTTGAACTTGCGATCCTCCTGCCTCAGCCTCCCAAGACGCTGGGATTACAGGTGCGTGCCACCGTGCCTGTCCTAGATCTTATTTTTTAATTGTTCCTTCGTGTTGTTACATTAAGCCCTTCTTTACCACGTTGGATGCCTTAAACACCACATGGAATAATAGTGCCACTCTTGCTTTCTTCTTAAATTTTAATTTGCCTGGTATCTCTCTGTTCATTCCTTTATCTTCAGCTGCTATTTCTCTTCTTTTTATAGATGTTTCTTATTAAACAACAAGGAAGAATTTGTTCTGTTCGCATTTAGTGTGGTACACTCGATTTTCCCCTTTCATCCCGTGCCATGTTCATTATTTATTGCAACTTRCTTCCTCTCTGCTTTTCCTTTCTGGAGGGGTGTTCACAGTGGAGGTCACCGAGGCAGAGGTTCTGGGTGGTGTCCTGTGTCCAGGTGTGGGCAGTGCGTGTGGAACCTCGTGCCAGAGAAACTGTGCTGTCTTCAGACCAGCTTTGCAACAGAGCTTTAGGCTCCTTCCTGACTTTGCAGCCTTGGAATGTCATCTTCTGTCTTCTGGATTATCACTGAGCCACCCAGCATCTTTTTTKKGGGGGGATGGGGTGTACTGGGGATTGAACTCAGGGGCACCCGACCACTGAGCCACATCCCCAGCCCTAGTTTATATTTTATTTAGAAACAGGGTCTCACTGAGCTGCTTAGCACCTCGCTTTTGCTGAGGCTGGCTTTGAATTCACGATGCTCCTGCCTCAGCCTCCTGAGCTGCTGGGATCCTTGGTGTGTACCAGTGCACCCGACTCAACCAACATCTTTTTAATTAAATTTTTGTTTTGTTTTCTTTTAATTGGCCGGAGTTGCTGCTTGTTGCTCTGACCAAGAAGCCTGAATAAGGCAATTCCAAAATGGTTTGGCTTTCATTTTTTAAAATCAACTCAAAAAATAAAATAAAATAATAAAATCAACTCTACCGAGCGCCTACCTGTGCTCAGTAGTTTTCATCTATTCATTTAGACAAGTGATTAGAGCCCGAGAAGGGACAGAGGACACTTGGACCACAAAATGACCCAACTATCCCACACTTTTCAGGGAATTCTCCGAACATTTCCCCGTTGGTGATGGAGAACAGATATAGCCCCATCCCCTCCTTAAAAAATAACCCAGTTTTTACAGACTTTAAAATGACCTTGAGTATTTTAATCATAAAATTAGACACCCACTTATAACACAAACACATGAAGGGGGAAAGCCAGGCCTTCTGGACTTGTGGGGCGTGGTACTTCCTCCCAAAGGCCACCAGCGCAGGTCCGCCATGCTCTCTGCTCTCAGAGTCCGTCTTATTGCGGAGGGTGATGCGGGTCAAAGCTGCAGGTTTCTGAAGTTAGCTGTCAGATCCTGCAGACTCAAGACTGCTGAGAGAGAAGAAATCGGGATGTGCCGGTGGGTGAGAAGCGCCCGTGAGGAAGAGGAGCATGGAGGTGACTGTGCTCCAGGGACGAGGGACAAGGCCACAGGGGCCTGGAGAGGCGCAGAGAGGAGGCCATAGAGCGGGGGCCGCAGAGAGGGGGCCGGAGCATCTGAGAAAAGGGAGACCAGGAAGAACTGGGAGAGGGTGTCTAGAGAAAAGAGACGTGGGGGCTGTAGGGAGAGAGGAGGAGGAAGAGAGTACCTGAGCAGCATGGGTGGGGACAGGAGGTGGCACAGGTGGCAGTGACAGGTGGCAACCCCAGGATGCGATTGAGGCGATTTTGTATGCTTTGGCTGCGATGCTCCAGCCCGTCCCARAGCTCAGGCTCAAAGGGACATCCCCCGTGGTTCACAAACTTGACCCAGCAGTGGGTGAACTCTGAAATGTAGTGGGGAGCCGCCGCCTGGGGACAGGTCCCTTCCTGCCCCACCCTCCGCTCCCGGGCATCTCCTGTCCCCAGGATCCTCCTTCCAGGAGGCGTCAAATCTTGGGCTTTGCAGGGGCTTCCTTCCTGCCCAGTCCCTCTTCTGTCCACCTGCCCGGCCCCTGTGGCGGTCCCCTGTTCCTGTGGACACGCCCCTGTCCACTGACAGCCCGGTCCCTCCTTCCTACCTCGGAGACTCATGACCCTGATCTGCACCCCGGATCGCCACAGGAGCCGCAGCCCCTCCTGGAAACTCCAGAACCAGTGGAAGTAGAGGCGGGAGGTGAAGAGCCTCAGCCGCACGTGGGGGTGGCTTCGTGTGAGCGCCACCAGCTCCTGGGCGCAGTCGGGGCAGGGGCTCCAGGTGAGGTAGCAGGTGACTTCGTAGTTCTGGCTCTGGTCCAGGTCCAAGGAACGGATCTTCTTTATGAAGCGAATCTCCGCGTGGTGACCCTTCTGGAGGGGGGACCCCGGCACAAAGAAGGAGGGTTCGATGTCACCTGACTGGGGCCGGGATGGGGCTATGGGGCTGAGTCTCGTCCACCTTCTAGTGTGGAGGCTTGTCCAGCAGAGTCATGGCTCCCCTTCCACTCACCCACAAACCCAACACCCCAAGTCCCACGAGGATCCCCGCGCCCCGAGGGGAGGGGTCGGCAGACAGACCCCACCCCCACGGCACAGTCAAGCCTCTCCTTGGGACTTTTGCTCAAGAGTGACCAAAGGACACTGTGTTTCAGCCCAGGAGCCTCAGGAGCAGGTGGGAGGGGAAGCGCCCAGGGCTGGTGGGCCACCAAGGAGCCTGGCGGAGCTCAGCTCTGGGGCAAGGACTCTGCTTCCTCCAGAGCAGCGAGTGGAGACCGGGCCGCCCAAGCGCGTTCTCCTGGGGGGAAGGAAGAGCGCTCTGGGGTACAGGCCTCTGGCAAGTCCAGGGCTGGGACCCAGCCAAGGTCACCGGGTGCGGGGGAGTTCAAGGGCAGTTCAGGACCATCCCCCAGGCTCCAGGCTCCTGGGAGGCTCCAGGCTCCTGGGAGGCAACTCTCCCGGCCCCCTGAGCTCGAGCCCCCTGAGCCCGAGGCACCGCCCGGCACCTTGTTTTGAAAGTAGTCCTGGTCACACGGGGAGCCCTGGAGCCGCAGCTGGTAGCACAGGTAGGTCTTCCTGCGGTGGTAGGGCCAGGGCGCCCGGTGCTGGTTGTTAAACTGCAGGTGGAACGTTTCCTTCTTTAGCAGCTTCATGACCCTCCGTGCAACAAGGAGGCACCAGGAGCCGGGAGCTTCCTCTGGTCACCTGCGCTGGGCGCAGATAGCCTCTGCCTTCAGGAATCAACTCCGTGGTGCCTGGGTCCCTGAGGGAGTGAGAGAGGARCAGGGCCACCAGGAGCTATGGCAGTGGGTGGCTTCTCCCTCTGACCGTGCCCAGTGCCTCCCCTCCACTCTCACAGTCCAGCCTTGGGGCCGTCCTCTGGGGACACCCCATCCATGTCACCTTTCTGCCTGGGCTGGGTGGGGCATCCCTCCTAACTGGGATCTGTGTCACACACCTCTGTCTGGGACTCCCCCGCCTCCCGAGTTTCCCAGGCCTCTGGACCCCAACCTTCCAAAGCCTGAACCTTCCTCTCTGGGAAGGGACGGAAACCTAGAAACCCGCCTTTCCTCTAACTCCGGGCTCTCTGCTCTGCTCGGGAACATGGATCACAGTCCTGTGTCACCAAGAACCCAGAGGCAAGACCCAGACAAACGGTTACTAAGGGACAGTCTGACAGAGGCTTTCAGTTGGAGGACTGACTTACCCTTCTCTCTCTCTCCCTATTTGTGATTACACTCTTTAGAGGATTCGATTTTCTCCCTCACTTTTCCCCCTTCTTAACTTCATATTGCAAAGTGCCCTGGTGAGTGTGGGTTCTGTGTGGGGGCGGGAGTGGGTGGCACAGGAAGCAGGAGAGAGGTTTTCTATAGCCAGATAGAAATGACATAGAAATGGGGACCTCGGAGAATGGGGTCCTGCCATCCCAGATTAAAACCCAGGGCTGGGACTGGGGATGTGGCTCAAGCGGTAGCGCGCTCGCCTGGCATGCATGCGGCCCAGGTTCGATCCTCAGCACCACATACCAACAAAGATGTTGTGTCCGCCAAAAACTAAAAAGTAAACATTAAAAAATTCTCTCTCTCTCTCTCTCTTAAAAAAAAAAAAAAGAAAAGAAAAGAAAAACGAAAAAAAAAAAAAAAAACCCAGGGCTAACAGTGCCAGACTGGAAGGCCCCCCTCAGGTGCCCTGCTTCCTGGGGCTGCCCCGGCTTCCTAATGACCCTGACACTAGTCAACCCAGAGAGCTGCTTGGAACCCGAGCAGTTGTATTGTTTTAAGGAACAAGTACAGGACGAACTCAGGACGTCAAACACACTGACCATCCCATCGGGGGAATGAGAGATTAAAACCATGCACCCTCTACGGAGTCAGAGACCGGTCAGGGGAAACCTGCCAGGGAGAGGTCGTTCTCCAGCAAAAGAGCGTAGAAAACCCTCCAGACCGAGAGCCACCAACAGGGCCCTCTCTGGTCTCCTCTCTTGCTCTGGGAGCTTTCCTTGCTGGCTTCTAATAAATCTGCTCCTGAGTTCTCACCCTCTGCCACCTGCACTCTTTATTCTTTGGGTGCATGACAGAAGAACCCTCCAGAAGAACCCTGGGTCACGCTGGGGATCAAACCCAGCGCCGCGCGCACACCAGGCAAGTGTCCTACCACTGAACCGCAGCCCTCCTGGATTCTCTCTGGTATGTGGACAGAAGTGGGGGCCTGGCTACCCACCACTGCGAGGCCCCTGAAGGTGTGCTCGGGCCAGAGCCCCACACACCACAAGGGCATCATGACTGAGCGGATGTCCGTCTTGACAGCTGCTCAGGAATCTCAAAGGACACTCAGCTCCGTCTTCCCGGACGTTCTGATGTTGCCCTAGGCAAATGCAACGTGGCTGACCATCCAGGTGGGCTCAGGTGAYCATGGACCCTCAGAAACCGGGTCTGGACCCAGAATTCAGGGTGCTGGTCCTTAAGGCACAGACCACAGGTGCAAATGATGTCCACTTCCTGTGGCTGCCTGGCCAGCCCTCTTCTCCTGGGGTATTTCCCACAATCTCAAGAAGACACTGCTTCCTGCACCAGTGACCAAACCCCTGCGAGCATCTGGGATGCTAATTAACAATGCCACTCACTCACGTCATCAGCGGAAACCTGGTTTTGACACCTCTTATGCCCTGGTTTTGACACCTCTTATGCCCATTAGGAAGGCTTCGGTGGATTCAGATGAAGAGCTAAAGAGGTGACACCATTGCTGGGCTGTGGCCTTGGATAAGTAAGTGGCCAGTCTGCCCCACATCAGGTGACGGGCGACTTGCGGCCTCTCCGTCACCAGCCCGATCACAGCCTGTGCTGCCCTGTGGTCTGGGACTTTCCACCTTGGCCCCCAGCTCCCGCGCTCTGGGAACCCTCCAGCCTGCCCGCTCAAGGCTCAAGTATTCCGACACAATTTTAGACAGTCACACTCTTAACAGCAAATCAAGAACCTTGGCCTTGAAGAGCTAAAAGAACAGGTTTGCCAGAAGCAAACTAGAATTGGTTTTAAGAGCAATCTGCCTCTCCTCTCCCAGTGGCCCCATCTTCCTTCTGGGAAACCATGGCGCTTCCGGTCTTGGTGGGGGCTTTCCTCCACACAGCTCCATGGCAAAACGGGGTCAGTCTGTCCAGTAAAACTCCCAAAGGTGCTCTGTAGCTGCCTCCAAGGTTAGCTCAATCATTCCGCCACTGCGGGCGGACAGAGGGCTGTGCTGGGCCCAGGAAGCACAGGAAGTGGGGGGGCCTCAGGGGGCTTCTAGTGTGAGGCTCCAGGGGCAGAGAACTGGGTGCTCTGGTTCCAGTTCCTCTGCTAAGGCCTCCGGAAAGTCCCTGTCTGGGACTCCTACACATGGCCTTCCCGCCTCGGTCACCAGGCGAGAGGGCCCTGGGGTGCTTCCCCTCCCCCCTGCCCACCCCTCCCCTCTCAGGCCCCCTCACCTCCTGATCCTGGAGTGTGCCCGCAGCCCCCAGGACAGGCTTGTCCCAGGTGGCTCTGCTGTCGCCTCCGACACTGGGCTCTCTTTTCCTGTTAAGGGGCCCTGGCTTTGGAAGCCCCCGATGGATCTGGTCAGGAGTGACCTCCCAGGGCCATCTGGGTGCCAGCCCCACCTCTTCCTGGTTTGGTGGGAGGGCCTAGGGTGGCTTAGCTTCCTCAGGCTCAGACACCTTCTCTCTGCCCCCGGCTGGCTGCCCTGCGGTGAAGACAGGCCTTTGTGAGAGGACCCGGGGGTTGCAAAGGGAAAGAGAAAGTGGTCCCCGACAGGGGCAGGGGGCCGACGCCCCTCCCTGGGGGCCAGGCAGTCTGGGTCCAGACCTGGCCCAGCACTGTCCCTGGTTGGCACATCCGTCCTGTGGCCCGTTCAGCTTCCCAGCAGGACTCTGTACTTGTGTTGTAGGGACAGASGAGGCAAGGCACCGAAGACAGCAGGAAACACTTTTATTTGGCTGCAGCCAGGTTCAGAGGGCACAGCTTTTGCTGTAACCAGTCAATCCCCCGAACCAGGGAGTTTCAGAGTTTTATCCCCAGTGTGTAAGGGGAGGGCTCAGAAGCTCACAGTCTGCAGAAGTTCACATCAAAGCAGCTTTTTCTTTCACTGTTCTGGGCAAGTTAACCCTTCAAGGACCACACCCGAGAAGGGGAGAGCTTCTTCTCCCCTTTCTGTCCTCCCCCTGCCCGCTGTTACCATGGGCCCAGTTGTAACTTATCTTAAAATGTAGACATCTCTGTGAAGCCCAGCTCAAGGCCAGAGGCCTGGTTTGCACATTTCTACAAAGTACTATACTGGATACGATTGTGAAAACTAGTCAGGGGTGTCCAGCACCTRGAGTGCTGGTATCTTCTCGGCCAGTGGCCAAGTCAACAGGGCGACACGAAAATAGGAAGTTTATCTACATTGGACTCTGCTGCAGAGACTCTTTTGCTGACAGACCCAAAATCAGCCATGGTGAAGAGGGCTTTTCTGAGGAGCAAGGGGGTGCCACTTCACTTGATGCAGACAGGGTGGGAGGTTGGGATATAGGGTTTCATCTCCTGCCCCAAGGAAGCCAAGTGTGGAAAGATSCTGGGCCCCGTCCTCTACCCCAGCCCTCCAATAGCATCAGCGGGGGAAAATCAGGCTCTGACCATGATCTCTCCAAGGAGGTCTTAAGCACAGAGAGGCTTAGATCCTCTCTTGAGATCACACAGCAAACAAACAGCAGAGTGGAGTGCAGGCCAGGTCTTCCTTGCCGCTGCTCCCCCCCCCCCCAACTAGCTGCAAGGAGAGGAGTGGGGGAGTGGCACAAAGGGAGGGCAGCTGCCACCCTGCAGGGATTCCCAGGCCYGGGATTCAAGGACCTGGACTTCATGTGTTCTGGAAGCTCTGCCTGCTTGGCACACTGAGCCAGGATTCTCGGGTAAGAAACAGCAAAATGGAACAACAACAACAAAAAAAACCCAAAAAACCAAAAAACCCCAAACTCAAGAGCATGTTGTGAAAGCTGAATCCTGAGCGAGGAGGACCTGCTCCCCCCTCACCACCTGCTCTTCTYACACCCCCTGTAGCCCCAGGCCCCAGGCAACAGGAGCTTGGGTTTGAAGGGTCACAAGAACTGTGTCCCCTCCACTTTGTCAGTCCTAAGGTCCTGGGGCTGAGGCAGGAGCTCAGGGTAAGCTGGAGAGAGCTGGCAGGAAGCCCCACCCCCTCCTCCTGGTCCTCCTTCAAGACAAAAAGGAAAGTCTCCAACAGGGGTCCCAGGGACCCCAGACCCTCATTTAAATACATCTACATGTTAA